TTGGTAAGACATATACTGCCTCATTGGATCGTAGTTGGAACCGCTTCCTGAACTGTTCTAGATGTCACCAGACATGATTGTCTATTTGATACAGACAACTGACCTTTCAGATTACATTACTGATTAAAGTGGGTTATCAGGTCGCTAACCAACTACTGTTGCATAGACGACTGTCGACTACTCTAGTGGGGTTCCTTGTGGTAGTATGTTTGTACCTGTAGTTAATGTACGCGACAATGCCAGACAATAATCAGTCTCAATTATTCGCCGAAACAAATTCCACCGGGGATAGCAAGAAAAGTATGGATGGTTCACTGAACATCAGAAAGCCGACTAGAGAAGTTCTAGAGTCAATCTGTGATGTGACTGATAGTGTGTCAATATGCCCGACGACGTGGGCCTTTACTCAGTGTATCAACCACAGGTGTTCATACTGTCGAGTATTTTCAGGCAGCAGCGTTAAAGCTTGTAGTGGCGTAGGGAACATTCTCTCGCCGAATTTATGATAGGTTTACGTCGTCAGGTATTCATAAACGTCCACTCACCGTGTTTTCATAAACGTCTAGCGGTGGCATCTGGTGTTTGTCATCATGTCCTGCCGACATCGTCTCCTACATCTGCATCTATCAGTGAATCAATATTTGAATGATCAGAATGCGGCAGTACTGGTCAGTTTTGAAGTAACAATGTCAAGGTTTTGTTGGTTTATGCTTTACAGATAAGTTTTAAGAAAGAGGGCAGGTGGGGGAAGGGTTAATATAGTTGTTCAAGACTTCGCTCGTCACGCCGAAAACATATATATCCGATATAAAATGGAAATATGTTTCGGCTTATAATCAAGGCTGTTTATCTCTTTCATTAACGTTCTATATTCACATTCTTACGCGCTGAAACTTTTCAGTCAAAATATATTTTTCAGTACACCACGCCAAAAGAACACATGTTGTTTCAATCACAAAAGTACGTTATATAGCAACATTAATATTTGTTTCCGTTGATATACGTAAGTGAACGATGAAAGTGTCCTACACCAAACATCACAGTAGCAACGTAGTTCAACAGTAGTGATGTAATCATGGGCAGCATAGTGATGTGCTTACGGGCCATGTACTTAAACACCCGCTAAAGTGATTTCACATATCTAAATGGACATGCTCATTCTCTCACAAAAGTCTTTGTCTGGGAGGAATTGTTAATTATTCATAGCTTTGACTGTATTATTCAATTTCGAGATGCTTGCTGCTCAAGTTTACGAGCTTTTCTGTAATAGCCCGACTGTCTTCACGGTAGTTCACAGTAGCCCCTTGCAGACAGGTCAGAAAATAATTATCTGGGGTCATACAAAAAGTAGGATCAGTCGATGAACGAAACACAATCGCCCATTACGAATCTGACATAATAACGAACGGAGAGCAAAGCTTTCAAGGTATTTATCAATTAGCATGATAGCTGGCGCTCGTATGCGTGCTTCGATTCCGAGACGGACAATAAGTGTGAAGGCTGGGCTGACAGACGAGGGGGATGAACAGGTTATGTAATGCTGGAAGTACTTCCCTGCCCGACCCCACACCTCCCACTGTGTTGGAGAGCCCCGACCTCAGCTGGGAGGGATTATGGTACATGTCCGGACCGACTAGACTACCTCTCTAGAATTGCTGTATGGGATGTATTTTCAAATGATCAACACGGCTCTTTATGTGTCCACAGAACGTAAACTGGCAGAGAATTGGCAATCAGTTATAATAATGGACTGAATACGTTTGCCTGAAGTTTTCATTACATGTCCAGTAAATACATGAAGTCAACGCCAGAGAATATCCAGTCTGAATATTAGGCAAAATTCCAATGCGCATACAAACTAAAATAGCTGTGAAAATGTGAATTTATCACCGAAACGTGTGATGACTCTAGGTGTTCGAGGAAAAGGTTTATGTAAATACAATTAGATGCATTGTAGGAATGTAATACGACGTAGATACGTGTCGACTGGGGAATTAGCTCATGTTTTAATATGAAGAATATGTTTGGACGATGGCTGTCCTGAATATTTGTCCCTATAACAAAATGTTAAAATTTTGTTGATACACGTCACGTACTTATTGAACTATGCCTTGTGTATTTCGACAATATATTGGCTTTACTCTGCAATTCAAAACTGTTGTATGTTTGTTTACAACCCGACCAGAGGACACATCTTCCCTTGAATCATCAAGGTCAGTGTCATGCATTCCCACAGGGCTGCCACACTTCTCTGATGACATTATAATCATGTCAAGACCAACCGTAGCGCACCTAATAACATGAGGATATCACATGAAAATTAGCCGCTAAATGGTTGACATTTATCTGTCTTTGGTCTGAGTGTTCATGTATTGATCGTGCAGCGTTTTCATCACTGCTCACGACGTATGGCCATCCAGAAGAGGCTTTCGCAGCCAGAGACCTGCTTCTCTACACTCTTAGTGTGAAAAAGCGTTTAACAATATTTACTCATGTAGCTTGTGGTCAATCATATGTCACCATTCGTGTCACTGGTGTGTTGCTTCCGCTTATTCTGTATGGATTTCGGCAGACCCGTGAAGATCCGGGGTAGAATAGGTCTTCAGCAACCCATGCTTGCCACAAAAGGCGACTATGCTTGTCGTAAGAGGCGACTAACGGGATCGGGTGGTCAGGCTCGCTGACTTGGTTGACATATGTCATCGTTTCCCAATTGCGCAGATCGATGCTCCTGCTGTTGATCACTGGATTGTCTGGTCCAGACTCGATTATTTACAGACCGCCGTCATGTAGCTGGAATATTGCTGAGTGCGGCGTAACACTAAACTCACTCAATCACTCACTGTATGGATTTCGGCCAAAAATTATGTCTGAGAGTGTTTTGTCTGACAAAGCAAATTGAAATTTTCTTAGTTGTAAAATGTCTTGAGGTAATTTATCTACAAGCAACCACAAAGCAAACTGGCGCCCGGAATGGTGTCGAGAACAAAACAATTTATAAAACAATTTGTTAGAAATGTTTTGTGTGATCTAGCAAAACCATGGAGACATGGTGACAGGTGAAGGTTGCTTTGATCTGTTTCACTGAGTGAGGACTCTTTTTGAGGTGAAGCAGTCAATTGGACTATGGTTTATGTTCTTGCCTATCAACAATCGGACGGAGTGAGTGGCTTGATGTTCGTAAATGAATTAAACAGGACTTTAATTATTTCGTATTGTGAGTTCTCCATTTGTTTGAGGCAATTTATTACTTCCCAGTATGCATTTTTCAACATGAAAAGGGGCTCTGTCCATGCTCGGAGGTTTAAACGAAGTGTGGAATGTCTTACTTTGAGCTTTCCTTCAACATCTAGCTGACACACCGTGATTTAACTAAAAAGTCCACTGAGTCAGTAGCTGTCAGTAAGAAAAATAAAAACACACGCTTGTTGCCGTAGACGTTCATCACATTGACAGGGATCCGGAGCTTACAAACTAACAGTCATATTGTTCCAGAGACGCGAGTCCTCAAAGACGACTGCATCTCTATGACTACTAGATTACATGTGTCAAAAAACAAGGAGAATAGAAACCAAAGTTTCAAGACGATATTTTCGAAGGCTTCGTAAAGTATAGATATTCACGTGATTGAACATTGTTCAGTGGTATTGTTAGTTGTGATGTCCACTGTACCGGTCACATGACATTCTCAACATGTATTGTTACAAGTCCCATAGATCTTTCACGAGTCCACTTTAGGGTAATGTGTCACAGTTAGGGCTGTGCAATATAACCGGTTTACCGATATTTACCGGTTCAGACATGAAAACGATACGTATTGCGATACGCTGATCGAAAACCGGGATTTTGACATGCATTCGGAAAACTTCGTAACACTCGGAAATGTTGATGATTGTGGCAATTGGGGTAATGGAGGTGGGAAGGATCATGGTGAAAATTACATTGAACTGGATGGTTAAGTTCGGTTTGATGTTGTGTTCTTAATTTTTGTTCAAGTGTTTCGTAAGGTTTTGGATCTGAAAGTTTTAAATATTTACTCATTAATGACCAGTCTGATATGTCAAGTTGCTGTGTCTAAAATCTCAGGGCTTTTTTTTGAGAGTGGAGAAACTAGTTCAAATTAAACTAGTAATCACTGTGTTAATGTTAAATTGTTCTTTTCCTTGTTTCATTTTTGCCAAACATTATTTACATTTATATTTTGTCATGATTAAAAGTTTCTGTTTAAGCTTAATCATGCATAGTGATTTTGTTGCGTTTTTGCTTTATAAATCAAGCATTAACTCGATTATAAGTAGTATTTTTCGCATCGCAATATATCGCAATATAAAAATTCTCTGCAATACCGATCCTTAGTCACAGTGCTGTTAGCTTGTCATAACGCATTGCAAGTCTGACGATAGAACAGTGTCGTAGCGTTTAATAAACACAGACTCATACATCCTATAATCGGGTGTCGTGACATTGTAATGTACAGTACAGTTCATATTGTAAGTTAATGTAATACATTGAAGCGCAACCCTACTTTTGGCATCCTTCCAGACATATGACGTTAGATCGTAGAATTACAATCACTTATAAATGAAAAAGTAGTTTCTGCACTGCAGAAAAAGCCTGAAGTGAGCTATCCCATATTTATAAAGCATTCATGTTTCTTCCCATTATTTGGTGCAAGCTGTGATTGACTCTTTCTTTCCTCCAGGGGTTACATCCTGACCTTACCACGCACACTGAGGGCTGGGGGAGGAGACGTTCTGTGTGACGTTGCATGACGTTGATGACCCTGTCTTCGCCTTCACGCTGCGCCTGACACACAAGGAAACCCAGGAAGAACATGACTTTGAATATGAGATCACAGAATGTGAGTACATTTTCTTGTTGGAATGGCTGTAGCATTGTTGGGGCGGTATTTACCAAGATGACATTATCCCAGGGCGATTAGTGGGAGAATTCTTCGATCAATACTGTGTCATAATGCAGTCATGCAGTAAAATATCACAATGTCAGGAGTTGAGTTGGAATGTAATCATTAGTGAGCTCATTTAGAATTCTATCGTGTTTGCTTCCTCGTTTTTATGAATCGCCATGAGTAAATTTTCTTTTTTTATATAGAATTCATAAAATATAATTATAATAAATGGATTTCATTTCGGAAGCCTTTGATTAGAAGAAATAGTTCTACAACAGATAGTTCTCTTTACGGTGTGACATGTCAATCCTTTTACGTAAATCATCCATGAATTGACATGCTGCCATGTAATGTCAATGACTGAGTGATGGTGCATATTATTTAGGACGTGCACTTTACACCGCAGGCCCGTGTTCGATTTTCTAATTGGGAACAATGTCTGTAGCCCATTTCTGGTCTCCCTGCTGGGACATTGCTGAAATGTTGCTGAAAGCCAAGTAACACCATACTCACTCAATCACCCAACCCGTAGGCGGTATGTTTCCATTGCTAGTTAGGATTGACATCGTTTCAATCTTTTTTCAGCTTATAGTCAGTGTTTGAAGTTCAAGGTTCCTACGGAGACGGGTGAATACGACGTTCTCCTCCGTAACGACACCTCCACCATCGAGGTGACAGGAACAACAGAAGTTGAAGTGAAGACAGAAAATCTCATCACCCTGGTTCAGACGGATAAGCCAATATACAAGCCTGGCCAGAGAGGTAAGAGAAAACACAATAAAATATACTGATCCGAACAAATATAGCATGGAACACCCCGGTACACAATGATTGGGTAAGCCCTATTTAACCCCAATTTCATAACGAACACACAGGACATGCTGTCGTAACCGCCATATGCACGACGTGGTTGAAAACCTTTGGATGGATCCCTACAGAATCGTTGGACATCATTATCAGAGAGCGCAACAGCCTTAGCTGCTACTATAGCAGAATATTGCCCTGATCCTTATATTTAAGAGATATTGCAATACATATTGTGATATATTGACTGGAAGGTTTCTGTCCAAGTGCGTACATCATAAATTCATAATAGCTGTGTGCGACATCATCGTTTTAGTTGCTGTTACACCATACTTTCAGGCTCCCCGTCCCCATTTTGTATGGCTGTGTGCCAATGATTTACAGATAAGTGAAATGATATAGAGCCTTAATGTGGAATGTTTACTTGAAGTATTGCAACAAAGATTTAATAATAATAAAAGTAATAGCATAACATGATGTTCATGGGCAGTGTTGTTTGGTTCAACAGAATGCACTTCAATGCAGTATGTAATTATTGTTACTGTATGTCAGTGATTCATTCAGATTCAACTCCAATATAAACATGTGTTTACGTGAACTATTGCAGAAGGATACAAAAACTTGATTTGGGTGAACTACTTGAGCTGTGACCTACAATAACTAAGATCCTTGACTAGAATGTCATTACACAGTCCTACAAAATTTAAAAATTTGTTTATTTCCATAATGCATGTGTGGCCATAGTACAATAATATGGCTGGTATTATACAATCATTTTCGCTTCTTAAATGCAACATGAACGAATGTCATCAAATTTTGTAAGCACAGAGTGTGAAGTTGTTGACATAAGTTTTGAGAACATCTGTACTGATGGGTTCCTGATCACATAAATTGGTAGAAAGATTTCCTGATGGTGTCAAGGGAAGGGCATATCAAAGTAAAATGATAGAGATCTTCGACTTCATATTCATCGCAGTGCATCAAGAGTTATTTTGTATGTTTAGTATATATCATATCTTGAACTGCTGGTTAAAAAATCTTCATGCCACTGTTGAGAATTGATATCTTCTAAACGTTGTTTAAAGACTGTTGAGAATTGATTTCTTTTAAACGCTGTTTAAAGTCATGAACAAAATATTCCGTGATACCAACATCTTGTGAAGCACAAGCATATCCCATTCCAACATCTTGTAGTAGGGTTCTAACATCGGAACACCATGTATGTCGACCTACATTGTCCAGATTATACAACATGTCATATGCCTTGCGTGGTAGTCGATGAGACGGGAGATGAACGAGTCTGATCCAGTACTTGATGCATCTGACGGCACTATCCACATACAGAGGATGACGTCCACACTCTCCAAGGGCCATAGCATTTGGTGTGTTTGTACCGATTCTAATGTAGCGTTTACATGCTAGATATTGAACTCTCTCAATTGCGTCGACTCGTGTGTGTCCCCATATTTCACTTCCTTATAACAGGATAGGCTTACTTTGGTGTCGAATATCTTGAAATAGGTCTTGAAACTTTATACGTAAGGAATGTTTGCCTTCAGTTGCAAGGTGAAGTACGAATTGACGAATTGAGGACGTGTTAGGGACAATTCATAATTTATGGCTAGGGGGTGAGGGAGGGGGTCACCCAGTTTGTTCTGGGGAGGTAGGGGGGTCATCAGTTTTGAACACATGCAGTAGAGGGGGATCAGCAATTTTGTACATAAAAATATATTTAAAAATTGCTTAAAAATTATGGGAAGTTGGGAAGGGGGAAGGGGGTAACTGATTTTGTACATGACATGCAGGGGGGGTTGTCACTTACTTTGTACATAAATGTTAGAGGGAGGGGGAGTTCCTTAGCATGATTCCAAGGTATTTATAGCTTGATATTGGCTGGATCTCTTTGTCGTTGTAAAACCATTTTTTTCACAACGTCTAAGGATTCCTCCATCTCTAATAAGAGACTACCTTTGTCTTCTGCAGGTTAACTGATAGACGCCATGTTTCATGGAATGTAGACAGAATGATGACCTCTTTCTAACGACCGTTGTTCCTGTCAGACATTAGGATTACGTCGTACTGCAAACAACAGCAGTAATAGTTTGTATAGATCCGGGTATAGCTGTATTCCGCCTTTACATTCCCGTCATATCATATCAGCGAGTCCATTTATGAACAGGACTAAGAACACATCCTTGTTTGAGACCAACTAGACCACCAAAGACTTGCGTGTACGACCCTCCACTACATCTAACAGAAGCTGATACTCGTGAATACATAGATTCAGTGATGTGAAGCATTTCCCCGCTCAGGTTGATGTTTCGAAGAACGTCGATCAGTTGTGTTCTATTGATAGAATCAAATGGTTTCCTAAAGTCAATTAGAGCAACATATAAGCGTGATTTTCTTTTACTGAGACTTTATAAGATAACATATGTCCCATTATGAAAAAAAAAAAAAAATGTGAATTGTGAAATGGTCAGTCAGAGCCGAGGCTCTACTAAAAAGTCGAAATAAAAACTTGGTCAAATCTTTGAACGGCATTTAGAAGTTGAATGCGTAAGAAAAGTAAGATGTAAGGATTCTTTATTGTGAATAACACTACATTTCGGAGTGTATGCATGCTCCTTCATGATCTGATGAAGGAGCAAGGATACACTCCGAAACGTTGTGTTATTCACAACAGGAAGTTGACATCCATAAATCTTGCTTTTCTTAATAGATTGGTCCATTTTAGGTCACTTAATTCTTCCAAAACGTCACATATGAAACCATTCAAAAACACAAAACTTTATTGTATACAAGCATTTGGTAGAATATTGGTACTTTTGGAGCCACTTATAAAGACACTTCCATTTACATGGAACCAACAGAAATAAAAGTTTATTTGGCACTTTTAGAGCACTTTTTGTTGATATGGAAATCAAGGGCAGAAATTTCAAAGGGAGATAACTCTGGATGACCCAATATATTGCAGAATCTGAACCATATCGCGATAATCGTATCGCGAGATACTGTTCCGGTATATACCGGTTTACCGGTAATATTGCACAGTCCTAGCTGCTACAGAATTCACTAGAGCCCCTTCAGCGTCAAAGACAGTGTTTGTAGCCCGAAGAATTATTAGACGGATGCATAAACATGATTAAAACGTTTCAGCACGGTGACAAAATGCAAACGTCTTTTTCGTCAACTAAAGTGTGGTCATTAGGGCATAAAATCCATACCAGACGTTTGGATCATTTACCCAGCGACATGCAGATTGTCGACAGCGTTTTACCACACAGCTTCATACTTCATGACTGCCACGACACTTTGAAAAGACCTACTGGACACCAGTGGCGTGAACGTTTCTAATCAGGCAGTGCGTAATGGTCTTTTGGAGACTGGTCTATGGTCTCTGTGTTCGCATCCCAGTCACCCGACATCACAGGCAGGCACATCTGGATCGGGCCTAAGATCAGTTGGATAAACCAGGGCCGGGATTCAGTTCTTTTTACTGATGAATGGAGATACTGTCTAGACTACACAGATCGTCGTGCCCGAGTGTGACTCACACAAGATAAAACATTTCAGGATTTCAACGTTGCCGAATATCAATCACTCATATTTTAGGGAGGGATCGGTAAGGCTGGTGGAACCCATCTCCCGAACCGATCTCCAACAGCGAGACACGATGAGGTTGACGTGAGACCGTATGCTCCATCAATCGGACCAAACGTCATCCTCTACGATGATAACACCCGACCTCATAAGGCCAAGATTTCTGAACCTTACTTTGAGCAGAAGACCAAACTTCAGCTCCAAAAAACACACGTGGAACGAGCTACACATATGGCTCTCTCACTACGCCCTGTCCTTACGGTAACTCCAGGAACTCGGCAATGCACTTACTCTAGAGTTCAACAATCTTCCCTTGAAAACCGTGAAGACACCGTGCAGGTTGTCTTTTTTAACAACGAATTTGTTTCTGTTATTCTGCGTTTGGTCATATGCTCTCAGTTTGCTCCTTCTGACCGCTGATCGCATGTTTTGGTTTTTTTGCTTGCAGTGTGTGGCACTTCACAACTGACGTTTGTACATTGAACATGTCTTCATGGAATATGGTCTTTCGCTATTTCAGTAGATTTACACAATGACGTGTAACTAAGGTATAAGCACATTGGTGTTTACAAACGGTGACTCATTTAGTGGAGAGAAACAGCAATGCACTGTGTGAGATCTGACGTGTACAAATATAGAACGTAAGTACAAAGACATGCCCAGTCTTGACTATCCTCAGAAACAAGTTCCGTTTGGTGTAAAGTGACTGAGTGAGTATAAGCTTACGCCGCTTTTAGCAATATTCCAGCAATATCACGGCGGGGCACACCAGAAATGGGCTTCATGCATTGTACCTATGTGGGGGGATCGAACCTGGGTCTTCGGCGTTACGAGCGAACGCTTTAACCACTGAGGAAAAGATAGCTGTGAAACCTATATGAATGGATAACCGACACCAGGGGTTCGCTAAGAGTGTAGGCATGTCCTGCCCTGCCGGTGGACTAATGCTTAGTCTCTGAATATAATAGAGTTTAATAGTAACAAACAAGCCCATTTAAATTGACCGACTGACTGAGTTTGGTTTTACGCCGCATTTAGCAATATTCCAGCAACATCACCAGAAATGGGCTTCACACATTGTACCCATGTGGGGATTCGAACCCGGGTCTTCGGCGTGACGAGCCAACGCTTTAACCACTAGGCTACCCCACCGCCCCTCCATTTAAATTGAAAGGGAGCCAGATGCTTATGGGTTTGGGAAGTAATTCTTTCTTTTTTAACAACACATTTGGGGTCAGGTTTGAAAGCAACACTATAAATTCCCGGTAGCCCCCGGCAGCAAAACTATAACTATACAAATTCTTGTATTTGAGGAATCTTAAGATCACTTTCCTACAAGAATTAATTTACACGAG